CTTAAAAGTGATGAACTTAGCTATTTATCTGAAGAGGTTTCTAATCAGAGATGTGTCCTGGTTTACCCATAAGATTTAAACAATATTGAAAAGGAGAGAGATGTATAGGAGAAATTGTTAAGGAGAAAACAAACAAAAACCAACCCAGAATTTAAATGTTTGGAAAATTCTCAGCCAATCATACTGGGGGTGGGGGAGGGGAGGGATGTGAGAGTATGTTCTAGAGAGAATATCAAGAGTGTGGCTGGACAATTGTACCATAAGAGATTTTCCGTGATTTTAATCAGTTATTTCAACAGATACCAGGAATAAAGATGTGATTATATCATCAGAACCTCTGCCAGTTTAGAATAAAAGGGATTCAGTCAGTCTATGTAGCAATCCTTTTGCTCTTCTATTGTTCTAGTTTATTATAATCCAATTTCAGTATTGTTTCTAGTGTTATATTCCTTTGTGGTGCTATTTTGAGATAATCCATTTCCTCCTATTTGTCTCGGGTAACCAGAGTTTGTCTTCACTAAAAGCCTCATATTTCCTGTTCCACGGGTTGGCTCTGTTGTTCCATATTCATCATTTTGAATATATGAATATTCTTTGATGATAATTCAGATTGTGTTTCTTTTTCCAAATGAAAAACAGAAATCTCAACATGGTGAATATGATAGATACGACCCTATGCAAACTGAAGAAGCGTTCTTGTTCAGATGATAAATCAAACAAATGTATTCCAATCATCTCTTCATTCACCACTTTATTCATGGCTACAGAGGATGCTATAGTACATTGCTAAAATACATATGTAGGACTTAGGCACTAAATTGCGCAGTACTGGAATTGTCGGCTGCTGAGAGCTAATAGCTGTATACTTCCTCTCTAATGGCTCTCAACAAAAGGAAGAGTCTCCCCCAAGGTTTAACCCCTTTTCTGGGGGCAATTCAATTTCACTGGGTGCAACTCATTTGCACTGATTGAAAGAACATCAAGGCCATCTTCCTTCCTTAATGTGGGGCATTTCTGAAAAGCCATCCAGGCAGGGAAAGCAAGTTACCCCTAGTAGAATTTTATGCACCTTATTTTCATATTTTTTTTAAATAAGATACTATTAGTACCTACCTCTTAAAATTATTAGAACAACTATATAAATTAGAACATCTGGAGTGCTGAAAATAGTGTCTGGGTTCTAGAAAGTACTCAGGAAATATATACTAAAAAACAGGTTTTTTTAAATTACCCAATGGTAAGCTAAAGAGGCCACTTTATAAAGCTTACTGTGTTTATAACTCAACTTCCACTAAAATAATCTGGGTTATCATTACTTTCCCTGTTATTTAGTAGAAAAGAAATAGCAGAGTTGGAGGAGGCTTTTCCTCATCAGAAACCTCTCTTCGTGGATAAGAAATACCTTGTAAACACTGGTTTTACCTCATTTGAAATCATCTTATGACTTGATGTGTGTTCTCTTATATTCTTTAAAAATTTCTCGAAGCTGTTCCCATTAAGAAGATGATATTTGTAAATGTAATGAGAACTGGCAATAGACTCTTCAGAATTACCTAGGAGACCCACTGATCACTGGCTTAGAGAAGTATATGACAGTATATCGAGGCACGTGCTGAGTTGTCTGTGCTTTGACCAAATCCAAAGTGAACTCTGGCTTCATGGGTAGGTCCGTGAACCTGAGTGAAAGTGAGATGATTCATCCTTAAATGTGCTGCCTCTGAACCTTCCTAAGAATTTCACTGCTATTGTATCTCTTTTGTTTAAACACAAACAAAATTTTTTTACTTGTTCTAAATGTGTTGGAGTTGTCAATTTTTTGACTAGGTCTATGTAATCCCTATAGGACTCTCCCGTCATATATTCACTTCCCGCAATCCTGCCTTATAGAGTGAGTGGCAATAGAGTAATAGACATTAGAAACAAAATGTTATCCAAACAAATAGTCAGAGATATATAGTTAGATGCATCATTAGTAGGAGACATGTTACAATGACTGGCAACATCAGGCTATGCAGATAGAATGAGAAATGCCAAGGAATGTATGGCACATGAGCAGGGGCTACTGGCCTTGACTTTGGAATTCCCATCTACAAAACATCATTGCCCATTTATGTGAGTATTCATGGATCATTACTGACCAATAAGGCCTATTGCACATTTATAAACTGAAATAATCACCTGTAAAATGGATTATTTTGAACCTCACAAAGATATACTATTAATTGGGATTCTAGAAATAGAGGAACTTCCTATGCAATTTCTGAAACTGAATGTAACATGTAAAGTGAGACATGGTCAGGAGAGGGATTAGAGGAAAGGAGGGAGGAGCACAGGGGACTGAGGTGATAGTGCACGGGCACATTGGTGAAGGAAATTCTATGGGGACTCCATCTGAGGGCAGGGGGAAGCAAACATTGTTTAAAAATGAACAAAGATGTAAAAAAAAAAAGAGAGAGAGAGGCATGGTCAATTATGTATGTGTGTGTAAGTGTGTAGATGTGTGGATAGATAGATAGATGTTAGGGGTAAATAATTTGCCCTTTACTATTGAAATACTCAAAAAAATTCAATATTTTTTATTAATAAATAATTCATCATTAAGTGTAAGAGATATTTTGATGAATAAACTATTATAGTTTATCATCATCACCATCCCTGATACATATTAACATAATATACCAAGTCTGTTTTGAGAACTATATTAGGTACACTTAGAGAAAAAAAAATAGCACTTTGAGTTTCTGAAATAAAAATAATTAAGTGCAATAAGTTTCTATAGACTGTGATCTAATTTTGAAAATTGTGCACTGTGACAGCAAAATGGTCAATTCCATTGGCTATTGAACAAGTAGAAAGATGTAACATACAGAATTCAAGTTTGATAGGAAAAGAATACATAACATATAATTTATCTGTGAGGAAGCTAGATTTCCTAATGTGCACAGAACTATCAGTTTCCCCCTCAATAATGAGACTAGAGACAAAAAGGAGGGCAAAACAAAAATTTTAGAGAAGTAATAGTTAGGGTTGGGGGATGACTCTCCAGGTATTATGGTTCTGCACCATAACCTTCTAAAATTTGGGGGTGAAGGAAGAACCAGGTGACCTCCTGAGAGCAGGGCGAAGATATTGATTTGAGTGATTTGTTTCAGTCTCGTCTAGTCTGCATGGACACATCCCATCTAGTCCTTGTATACTTGATGTTCTTTTTTTTTTAAAGATTTTATTTATTTTTATACAAGAACCGGGGTACAGGCCAGATGTGTGGGAGGGTGAGAGGATTCACGAGAGACAGAGCAGGGAACAGAACAGGCACACTGACGAAATACACTGCTGAGGGGAGCAGCGGGCGAGACAGGAGAGGTCTGCTTCGCCCTGTGGGACCTTTGCTGGTCGGCCGGGATTGAACCTGCACTGCTGAGGCTGTGGACAGCTTCACAGTGTGGCACTCAACTGCCAGTGCCACCAGGGAGGCCCTGTTCTTTTTTTTTTTTTTTTTTTAAGATTTATTTTATGCATACAAGAGCTGGGGTACAGGCCAGACATGTGGGCAGTGAGAGGGATCACCAGAGACAGAGTGGGGAACAGAATAGGTGTATTGACTGAAATACGCTGCTGAGGGGAGCAGCGGGTGATATAGGAGAGGTCTGCTGCACCTTGTGCGTAGCTCCCTGGCCGGCGGGGATCGAACTTGTGCTGCAGAGGCTGCAGACAGCTAAAAAGAAACAAAAGCCAATGAAAATGGACATGGACAAATTTGAGTTCAGTTTTTCTCTTTCACTATGTTCTCTTCAATCATTTGTGTTCCCTCCTTTGGTAGGTTTCAGCTTCTTTTGATAGTGACTCTAGTAAATTCTCACTAAGGCTTTATATCTATTATAGTTGAAGAAAGGTAAAGACAGGGAGATGTTCTACCATGCACAGCTTCAAAATCTGCAACAAAACAACTGCAGCAACCACAGAAAGAGAGTAAAAAATCCCTCATTAAGAAAGAACTTACACAGAATTTGGGTCAAGATGTTTGACTATTCAGTCTTGATTGTCAACCAGTTCATTTTCATGTCCCATCTGACCCAGAAGTCTGTCCATCGAGGACTAACCAATAATTTTATTTAAACTTCTAGTTCTTTGCAAAGTGTGTCATTCCAAAGAATAGAAAGCAAAACTATCCCTGCCAATATTTCTGAGCTGCAGAACCAAGTGTCACAGCCCTGCCACTAACATTTTAAGATACAGATTACTCGTTTTCCTTTGTGACCTGACCTTCACATCTATGCTGAACTAGAACCCAGTAATTTTGAAGGTTACATCAAGTTTCAAAATAGTGACATTTTAATAGACTTTAGCCCTTCATTAAAAATAAAGAAAACTCAGGCATATGAATTTTGGCTCCCTAAATATACTAATAAATGTGTTTGATGATAGACATATTATGTACTCCAATTCAAATGTACCTGGAGAGTAGGTTTTTCTGTCTTGGAAACTAATAGACTGTGTTGTACAACAATGGATTTAGTATTGAATTCAGTCTAATTAGAACTAGCAGCTGACTAAATAAGTATCAATTGTATCTTCCATGGGCTAAAGTGCCCACTAAAACATTGTATCTCCAAATAAATAAATATGTTAGTTCTTTGCTAACTAGGATATACTCAATGCTGTCCTGGGTTTTGGGGAGGATAAACAGATTTATGTAATAGATTGTAAACCTTTCAGAGCATTCAATAAGGCTTACTGGTTAAGAATGTGATCTCTGAATCTCAGCTCCACATATGACTTGCTCTATGACTTGCAGGCAAATATTTAACTTCTAAAACTTGGTTTTATTTATTTGTGAAATAGGGGTGGATATGTAGAATTTAACAAAATATTGTATGCTCTTTTGAAATAGCACATTGAATCACACAATCATCAGAATTCATGCTAGTTATTTTCATTGTTCATTTTATGGTTTGAAATGAGAATTGCATTTACTTCAAACTTGAGCTAGTCTCATTCACACCATTGATTTTACTTTAATTTCAAAGCAGTTCTCAGAGGGAGACTGTGCTGTTCCATCGTAAACATGATAAATCCACAAAAAAATAAAGACCACTGTGATCTCTGATGTAGGAAGTGACAAGAAAAGCTCTGGAATCCAGGTCAGAGACTCTGATTCTATTATATGCCTTGTCAATTTTCAACCATAATGGGGAGCATATTCTTCTCTACCTTATACTTTTTTGAGATTGTCAAAATTACTTATAATATTGTTTATAACTATCCTGCAAAACTCTCTCATGACCTTCCTACCCCAACAGTGTGTTCAGTGTTCAGTGTGCTTATGAAACATCAAATAAGGGAAAATCTGATGAAATTTGAGGCTGCAGAGGTCACAGTGCACTGAGATGCTGATGGGTGGTTTGGGGGGCTGTGCGGGAGCAAAGGCTGAGCTGTGGTATATCCAGTCTTGGGAAGTTATAACAAAGAAATCCACTCTCCCAGATTTTAATATCTCAGCGGAAATATAGTTATGAAATAAGAATTAGTATAGACTCTTCCAATTCTTGAATGTCATGCTAACAGATTTACAAATTATTGTGTTTTCTAGGTCAGTGTTTCTAAAAATGGATCTCTTTGCGATCACATATTGTGTGTACATAAATATAGTATAGTCAGGAAGAGTCTGCTGTCACATCAAACTAAATGTCATTACTGGGAATCTAATTTTGTGAATTTCTAAGAAAGGTTTTTTTTTTTTTTTAAAGAAATGTTTCTAAAGTATATTTCTTTCAGGATCACAATTTGTGGGGTCAGAACATATCTTAATTTGTGTTTCAGAAAATAATATGGGAAATTTTGCTCTGATGAACAGAAAACGATTATAGGATTTCAAATGAAATGCTTGAATGTATTAGTTAAGTATAAATATAAAGGTGGTGAATTGGAATGAAGGATGATAAAAGCCATCTTTCTTCTGTCATTGCTGGCTTGTGTTGTTGGAACAGTGATTCCTGTTACACCTATAACAAACTCAAAGACTTCAGAGTTAAACTAAACATGTAAAAGTGTCACTGTTAAGGTCCTTTCCTTGCAAGATTTTGATCTGTTGAGGAACTTGTCACATTATTTGTGTGCAAACTGGCTACTCCAGGAAAGTAGTTCTTGCCTGCTCATTGAAAAAAAAAGAAAACATTATTAACGTCAAACATTGAAATTCTTGGTCAGCAATGAAGGCTTGAGCTACTGTGTGTGTACGTGTTTATACAAGTTTGTATTTCACAGAAAGGTTTTCATATTTGTGAGTGTGTGTGTGCAAGTACGTGTAAGGGAGAAAGCACCATTTTTAGAAAATCTTTTTTTTTTAAAGATTTATTTATACACACAAGATCTGGGGTACAGGCCAGAGATGGGGGTGGTGAGAGGATTCACCAGAGACAGAGTGAGGAACACAACAGGCAGATTGAAATGCACTGCTGAGGGGAGCAGTGGGCAAGTCAGGAGGGGTCTACTGCGCCATGTGGATTGTTCCCTGGCCAGCCAGGAATTGAATTTGTGCTGCAGAGGCTGCGGATTGCTTCATAGTGCAGTGCTTAACCCCTTGCACCACCGGGGAGGCCCCCAAGAAATCTTCTAATTCTTGATTAATTGCTTATGTTTTTAAACAATTAAATTGTTATCAATTAATAATATATATTTAAACTATCTTGTCCTCTTAGAATTTATTAAGGGTATTACACATATCACATATACATGCATAACACATACAGTTTCTGGTACTCTTGGGAACATATTAACATATTTCTCAGAGGAAATGTGGTTTATTTTGTTTTTAAAGATTTATTTATTTATTTACTTGTGTATTTATTTATTTATTTATACATACATACATACATACATACATACATACAAGTACTGGGTACAGTCAGAAGTGCAGGAGGGTGAGAGAATTCACCTAGAGTAATAGCAGAGAGCAGAGCAGGCAGACGGACGAAGTACACTGCTGAGGGGAGCAGCGGGCGGAAGGAGAGTTCTGCGCCCCATGTGGGACCCTCACCCGGTGGCCAGGGATCGAACCGGTGCTGTAGAGGCTGTGGGCAGCTTCGCAATGCAACGCTCAACCACTGTGCCACCAGGGTGGCCCGAGGAAATGTGGTTTAAACATTTAAACACATTCTCCAGTAGGGGAAGGTTTTTTTTTTTTTTTTGAAGATTTATTTTTATTTATTTATGCATACAAGAACTGGGGTATAGGCTAAAGGTGTTGGGGAGAGGGGATTCACCAGAGACAGAGTGGGGAGCAGAACAGGCGGATCTACTGAAATACACTGCTTGGGGGAGCAGCAGGCAAGACAGGGGAGGTCTGCTGTGCCATGTGGGTCAGCGCCTGGCCCTTCGGGGATCAAACTCGTGCTGCAGTGGCTGGTGATAGCTTGATGATGCTGAGATTTTAACCCCTGTGCCACCAGGGAGGCCCAGTAAGGGACATTTTAAGGACAACATTGCACTCTTTTCACTTAATACTTATATCTACCATATTTAATCTTAAGGAGACACATTCTGTTTCTATTCTATATGGACAAAAATGCCAAAATGGAGCCACATTTTGGAACCACCTGCCCCATTCCTGCCTGCAGTCATAGAATTATTGATGGGATAAAGAAGAGAGACAAAGTTAGTTTCTTTTTCAAAATACAGTCTCTTTTCTATTCTTAAAATGTCAAGGTAAATTTGACTTTATGGAAGTTGTAAGAAGGAAGGCCATGAAAGAAGAAAATGTTTGTTTTTCTGTCACTTCAGTTTTTAGCTTTAAGCAAAGCAAGGGAATGTGAGAGGATAAAAGAGATTGAAGAACTCTTTGGTCTCAACAATAAAAACTAAACATACCCAAATAGATTACAGACCTGTGAGAATGTGCAAAATGTTAAACATACCACATTCCTCTTTCAGTTATTCAGGATCAATTTCCAAACTCCTAGTCATGGTACATGAGACCGTTCCTGAACTTTCTTATATCTTTTTGTAAAGTCTTCATTTGGCATTCCCAAACTGACCTGATGGGACGGTTTAAAGTTGATATTCATTATACTTTCATCTGCTTCCTATTCAGTTTGATCAGTTTGTAGATGTTCTACCCAATGAACTATATGTAACTATACTTCTTGGTATTTTATCTAATGCTGTCCTTTTATTTTTGCTAGACAAAAGCCAGCATTATAAGATAGCAGTGATTCCAGTGACCATACCAGATGTTCTTCCCTACATTTCCATAATGTACTCAACTGGAATGCAATTGACTCGTACTATAACCAGAAGTATGTTTTGAGCATGTTTAAAAAGTATACTTATTTGTTTTAGAATCTCTTGAATATCCCCTATGCCCACAAGTACAGGCCCTTAGGAAATAATTATAGAACTAATAAATAAATCATTATCTGTTTATATGGCAGAGAGATTTTGCCCAATAGTACTCTTATAATATAGCCAGACTATTTTATATTTTCCCATGTACATCAGTGTGTTATTTTCCTGAGAAAATTGGGATATCTGATTTTATTATGAAGAACATTTCCTATTATAAATATGAGTTAGAAAAAGCAATTCCATAGACTTTTATTTAACCTAGTCATGTTAAAATACCCACCAGGGAAGTATTTCTGAAATCTAACTAATGAATAAATATTTTTACTGCAGACCAGTCATTTCTAATTTCCTGATTTTAACTCAGGCCAAGTTGATTTTTATAATAGAGCTGTTAATATCATTTTAAGATAGACTATGAACTAAATAAATGAAGACATGAATCAGAAATATATGAAGTTTGGGGTAGGAAAAAGGAATCAGGTTGAATGTGTAGAAATTCCATATAGATTACATGCTCTCCTTTGTATCATATTCAGCAAGTCAATAATTCTCTCTAAATGTTGACAATAATGCTGTTCCTAGCCAGTGGAAATGGAAGTCACTAAATAACTGTGTCATTCAGAAATGTGTTCTAACATGTATTTTTTATTATAATTATGAATAGGTCCCGAACTACCAAATTAAGCAGTCAGTAAATCGCTAAGAATGCTAGATGGAGAGTTAGATTTACAATTATGGCCTCAATGGTGAACAATATTTTTCAAAGTTAAGTAAAAATTGCTTGATGTTGAGAAATGCTTTCTCTGCAGGTGAAATTAGAGTTTGTTGATAAAAATAAAATCTATCTTTAGCATGTATGTGTGTGTATGTGTGTATAATTTTAAATGATATATATTTATATATTTGTATGCCTGTATGCATTTGTATATATTATATGTACATATATGTGTAATTATATAGAAAGAATATATACATACAATTACTGAAAGGGAGACAGATTTTTCTTTGAAAATAGATAATACAAATAATTTAAATTGGTTAATAAGTTTGGAGTTAACTTATTAGTAATGTTATTAATATGTCCTATAAATGGGAACCTAACATTCATATTTAAAAATGAGGAATTTGTAATTCACATGGACCAGGAGATTTGTCAAACTGAAATAAAAAAATATAATTCTAGGTTGTCCTGGATTGGTTGTCTCAACCATGTTGTCCACCCAAGATCTTTTTCCACCGTCTCTTTAATCAGCATGTTTTAATTATGGTAAAAGTGAAGGTTTTGGAGAGCATTAGTGAAGAGTATTAGCATACCCAACTTAATTTATTTTTTCTAAATTGTAATGGCTTTCCAATAGCAAAATAAAAATAGATATTCTATGTGAAATTACTTTTTTGACTTTAAAATGTGCTATCTAAACATTCAAAACTTAACACATAATTGCTAATTGTTGGTCCCCCAATAGTTTCTAGACACCTTTCCAGGTTCTAAGGTTAGAGCAATGAACACAATATACTAGACACTGCCTGTCATAAGGCTACTGTTCTAGATGTAAGTATCAGAAAATAAATAGGTAACAATTAGAAATACCAATAATTCACAGCCTCTTGAGTGCTGTGAAAAAACTAAATTATGGCTATACAATGTAATGTGAACTGCATGGACAAGTTCAGCAGGAAACATGGCGTCTCTAGATAAAATGGTTTCTAATGACCAAGTGCAGGCCAGTCACGGGTCTCGGGGAGAGCTCCATACCCAGAAACATACCTACAGCTGCCCACCCTCACACACACACAGGCACATATGCACACTCTCACACCTCCAGCTGCACAAAGGACACAGATGACAATAAATTGGGAAGGTCCCAGCACACAAAGGGAGACAGTGTGACAAGAGGAAAAGTGGGGTGAGAAGGAAGCTAGAGACAGACCAAGTAGGTCCTTTTGTTTTTATTTATATGTGTGTGTGTTATATCATTGTTCATTTTTGTGCAATGTATGCTTGTATGCTTTCTCCTTTCAGGTAAAGATGGTTCTTTTACAGTAAAAGATTTCTGTAGCACTCAGCTCTGAGATTCACAAACTATCTGGAGAGGCACAAGTTGTTTTTCTGTTTTGTTTTGTAATTCCAGTTCATTGTTAGGCTGATAATCTTATAGAATCCAATAAAAATTAAAATGAGACTAGTGTATTGATGAAAAAGGATTGTAAAATTCACTAAATACTTACATTTATCTTATTGTGGGCTGGTAATAAAATGTTCACCAACCAGAGCTAATTTAGCAACAGCAATTTATTTAACTTTGATTTGGGGATTTAAAGCAGAATGGTAAAATTATCAGATATAAATAGGATATAACTTTGTGTATGTATGTACATGTGCATGTATTGTGTATAAATTCACTGCTGAAGCTTGCAAACTAGAGAGATGAGAAATCTCATCACTACCATTGGTCCATGAACAGAATTTATTAGTTTTTTCCTCAGGGATAGCAGAAGGAAGTGACTCATATTGCAATTTGATTGAGTTTTGTATTTAAGTAATAATAAAAAGAAACAAAACAAAACAAAATGCTAAGGTTAGAGAAAATAACCCACTACAATAGTCTAGGGTTGCTTTTTAATATTCAACAATAAATCTGAACTCAAACTCCTAGTATAAATTTGTCTGTTTGAAGTCTGCTCACAGGAAATCTCTGAATCTATGAATGTTAGGGTCAAAAGTCTCCATTGCTTTTGTCCCCCAAATTGTAGGAAAGATTCAATGTAAGGGTTTGTAAGTAATAAACCCAGACATTGTGAATTTATTTTGCAGTTTACAGGTAAATTATAATCCCAGCAACCCAGTTAGATTCTTTGATATTATTCTTTTTACATTTACAGAAAGGAATCTAAAGTTCAGAAATGTTTAGTAATATGTCAAAAAGCTTCCATAATTTTTCCAGAACTGAAACTTCAGGAGTTTTATATCAGAATGTATACATCTTATCTCCATATAAAGCAGTAAATGCCTCAAAAGCATTGATAACTCCAACAAATCTAAAAATCTAACATAGAAAATGTTCTTCAGAACAAATGGTATAAAAGGACTTTTCCATACTAGCATTCTCACTTAGGTATCTGCTATTTTTCTACTGCTTTGGATCTGCTAGTCCTATAGTCCCTCCTCCTATCCCCAGTTTTATTGAAGTATAATTGCCATAATGTATTGTGAAAGTCTAGGGTGATGATTACACACACACACACACACACACACGCATACACGCACACACAGATATGTATATATATGGTGAAATGATTAGCACAATGATGTTAGCTAACGCATTGTCACCTCACATTATTACCTTTTGTTTCTATTATTGTGTTGTTTGTTTTGTGGTCAGAACATTTAAGGTTTACTCTCTTAGCAACTCACATAACGTTTTATAGTATTGTTAGGTATAGACACCATGATGTGCATTAGTGCCCCCGAACTTACTTATTCTGTAACTGAAAGCTTGTACCTTCTCATCAATGACTTCCCTTTTCCCTCACCGCCAGTCCCTGGAAATTACCATTCTAATTTGTGCTTCTATGAGTGCAATTTTTTTTTAGATGTCATGTTATCAGTGAGATCATACAATATTTGTCTTTCTATGTCTGATATACTTAACTTAGCCTAATGCCCTCACAGTCTGTTCCTGTTGTAGTATATGGTAATATTTTTTTAATGACTAATAGTCCATTTCTAACCCATAAGAGACACTTCCCTGAAAATGTTCTGATGGTACAAATAATAGAGCCATAATTAATTGAATATTTAAAATTACAGACCTTTTTTTGCAGTTGGAGGACTATGTATTTTACTCAGGTTTGCAAGGAATAGGATTAAAAAGTTTTTTGCATTAAGGATAATTTTACTTATTTTATTAGAAATTTCACTCAACACTGAACTAAGAGTAATAGTTTTGCTGCCCACCCCCCAACATACAACTCTGTGTTACTCAGAAAATGGAGAAAATGAGGGGTTTTAAACTCATGCCAAATTTTCATACATTATCTATAATTTTCAAATGTATTTTATGTATAATCATAACCATTTAGAGGACCAGTTTAGGAAGAAAAAAAAGTTAAGAAGGAAAATAATTCAGAACTGGAAGAATGAGAACACATAACTTTCATTTTATGTAAAATAAGAAATGAAATGATCAATGCTAGTGGAATGAGATTTTTTCCAATAATTATAGTGTAATTTTACAACACAAAACAAATGTGTTGTGTTCATATTATTCCAATTATGGGTTGTTTCCATATTTTTTGTTTTTTTCATTGATCTTTTTTCTTGATATCATGCTTTGCTTTATATAAAAATCTCTTGGTTTAAGTTTCATAACTCAATAGAACATATTATTTTTTAATATTTATTTATGCAGACAAGAACTGGGGTGTAGGTCAAAGGTGCGGGGAGTGAGAGGATTTACCAGAGACAGAGGGGGGAAGCAGAACAGGCAGATCTCCTGAAATACACTGCTAAGGGGAGCAGCAGGCGAGACAAGAGAGGTCTGCTGCGCTATGTGGGTTGGTCCTTCGCCAGCCAGGGATTGAACTCATGCTGCAGTGGCTGATGAGAGCTTCACAGCGCTGCCTTTAACCCCAGAACCACCAGGGAGGCCCACAATAAATCATGTTCTTAAGAATTCTGTTCACTGAGATAGGAGTAGTGTTGAAAGCAGTGATATGATCGTACCCATGTGTTTTACATTTCATGCTGTGTTCCTTCCTGATGGACATGAGGGGAAATAAAAATACTGCATAAAATCCCCAATGTTCTTAGTGTATATAAATGGTCTGAGGACCTAATTCCAATGTTTGGAATAAGCAAAAACAATTTGGAATAAACAAAAACAATTCAACACCATTCTAATACTCTCTGCTGGGAGAGAATGTCAGACCCCATATTTTAAGGTATCATTCCCACCAGAGGACCTCGCCCCGCAGCCCCAGCAACACTTCAGATATCAGTTAGACCCCAGGTTGTAACTTGTACTTCTGACAGACTGACTGTAAACCACAGGTTCTCATAAATCCCTTCTTGAGTTCAATAATTTTCTAGAGTAGCTCACAGAACCCAGAGAAACACTGAACATATTATATCACACCAGTTTATTTTAAAGAGATATTGTAACAGGGTGGTACTCAAGGGACAGGGAGTTTCCAAGTTCCCTGCCCCACTCAAGAAAGGGTGGAGCTAAGCTGGGAGCAGCAGCTGGAGAGGAGACTGGAGAAGGATGAAGAGCCAGTAAGAGACCTAGAGGAGGCATATGCAGCAGAGAAAAACATGTAAAGCTGCTCTTGATTCTTGTCTTGGACCAGTTGAAACAGATGTGGGTAAAAGACTTGTGGAGAAGTGAACAATAGCTGCTTTTAGCTTGATTTTGCTCATTCCTTCCCAGGAGTGCTGGGTCCCTTCTGTCCCATTCCTCAGGGTCCCCACCAGAGGTGCTTTAGACTTATGGCAGGCTTATGCGCCTCAGTGGCCCTGCTTTGGGCCAACCCTGTTTGGCTAAGCATTAACCCATGAGAGGATGGGTAACTTCAAGTGCTTGATTTGGAAACTTTATTCTTTCTTTGTCTTTTCTGTGTTGAACACTAGTTGTATTAAAGTTCCTTTCCATTAAAAGTCTTAGAGTATGTGTTGTCTTGAGGTTCAGGTGGCAGAACCTATTTAGAATGGTCAGGTTTGGGGGTTCTGAATTGCATGGTAGGAGGCACTAAAAATGATAGATCACGCTTGAGATCCTCAGATTTGATGGACCCAATTTTGCATCTTACATCAATTGTGAAAACTACCAACATCTTAACAAAAGCTGATTTTGTAAATTTTATTTTATAGTTATATAACAATATAACTCAGGAACAGCTAGATACTACTCTAATCTGGTCATTTTTGGGTTTTCAGGCAAGTTTATTACATAGGCACAACTGATGAAATCATGGACCACTAACAATTGATGTTCCAGTTCCATCCCCTCCCCAGAGGTAAAGTGTTGGGACTGTTCCGACCCTCCATTCACAAGGTTGGTATATTCCACTTTAAAAAGCCACCTTGTTAGGGCCTCCCTGGTGGCACAGAGGGTTGAGCACAGCACTATGAGTCTGTCTGCAGCCTTTGCAGTTCGAGTTGGATCCCAGGTGGCTGGGGAGCTATCCACATGGTGCAGCAGACCTCTCCTGTCCCACCTGCTGCTCCCCTTAGCAGTGTGTTTTGGTGTATCTGACTGTTCTGCTCCTGGCTCTCTCTGGTGAATCTTCTCACCCTCCCCCAACTCTGGCCTGTACCACACTTCTTTTTTTATTTTTTAAATTTTTTTAAAGATTCATTTATTTATTTATACAAGCACTTAGTACAGTCAGAGGCGCGGGAGGGTGAGAGAAATAATCAGAGCCAGAGCAGAGATTAGAACAGGCAGAGAGATGAAGTACACTGCTGAGTGGAGCAGCCGGCGGCAGGAGAGGTCTGCGCGCCATGTGGGACCCTCGCCCTGCCGCCAGGGATCAAAACAGCGCTGTAGAGGCTGTGGGCAGCTCCGCAAGCCAGCGCTCAATTGGTGAGCCACCTGGGAGGCCCTGTACCCCACTTCTTAAAAAAAGCCACCTTGTTAACATAACAAAGACACCTTTATGTTTCTTAGCACTTGGGGAATTCCAAGGATTATAGGAGCTCTATGCTAAAAATGAATTAAGATCATAATATTTATTATGAATCACAATATCACAGTAACTAAAAATTATTTTTCACACATTTTTGATGCTTAAAATCAAACTTAAGACAGATATAATAACCTCTGCTCACTCAAACCGCACTTACTTTTTTTTTTAAAGATTTATTTTATTTTATTTTATTTTATTTATTTATTTGTTTATTTATACAAGCACTGGGTATAGTCAGAAGCACGGGAGGGTGAGAGAATTCACCAGAGCCAGAGCGGGGTGCAGAGCAGGCAGAAGGACCGAAGTACACTGCTGAGGGGAGCAGCGGGTGGCAGGAGAGGTCTGCGCGCCATGTGGGACCCTCCTCCGGTGGCCGGGGAGCAGCCGGGGATCGAACCAGCGCTGCAGAGGCTGTGGGCAGCTTCACAACCCAGCGCTCAACCTCTGCGACACCGGGGAGGCCCCCGCACTTATTTTCTTTACCCACGTTTTTTATATTTTTACATAACGCTTTTTGAACATGCTAGATAGAAATTCATCATATAATCTTCATAACATCTTGATGCTATCATTCCTATATTTATAGGATATTTATATCAATATTGAATCTTGAAAGCCTATAAATGTTTTCTTTTTAAAGGTGTAAAAATTTTATAATCAAGAAAGCACATAAAATATCTGCAATTTGTAGATATAACAAATCCCAAAAACCTGAAGGTGTTAAGAATGTCCAGTTTCTTCCACCAAGGAAAAGGCAGAATAGAAAATAGAGAAGTTATTTGTTTTGGTGTTGCAATTTATTTCTAATCAAAATCTCCCATGATATTAACTTGATATTAGTTTAAAACATGAAAATAATGAAAGTTAATGTCCTCCCTTTATATTGTACTTCCCATTGCCTACGTTAATAGTTGTTTTCAATGCTGCCAACATGCTGTACGTAATAGACAAGTGCACTTCAGTCAGCTATCAAAGACTCCCATCATTTTCCTAAGTGACATCGAAAGCTACTTAATGCCTTACACCTCTGGCCTGCACCCCAGATCGTCTATGAAAAAAATAAAAAAAAAAATTCTGTTTAACATTAATAATGAATTGGGTGGTAAGAGACACTTAATAGATCACGCTTGAGATCCTCAGATTTGATGGACCCAATTTTGCATTTTACATCAATTGTGAGAACTACCAACATCTTAATAAAAGCTGATTTTATAAACAAAACACTTTAAAGGCATCAGGAAAGATACAGTAATGAAAAAAATGTGTGCTGTATGTTGCTTGCATTGTGCTTGCCCCTTGGAACAATGACATAAAGTTTGCTTTATAAATACCCCTTTGCTTTATAAATGCCCTTGGAACAAAGGCATGGACTTCAAGAAATCGCACACAAATTCTAAGGACATTCTCTATGTGGCTAACAGAATCCTGAAAATGCATAGCAGGGAATACGAATGGCACACAGCATATATCCATCATGTGCCTGTTCTCTCAGCCTGAGGCTTAGTCAATTAATACCTCTTTTTATTAAATAATGCTAAATCATACTTCATAATAAAACTAAATAATACAGGATGATTTTTAAAACTATAAAGTTATAAATGAATTGTTCTTTTCAATAAAGTTAAATATATATATATTTTCCTAACATTTTCTTTATTTTTTCTTTATTTTTAGTTATTATTTTATATATGTTTTTACATCATTCATCATTTTTATACAATGCATGCTTTATTATCTCAGGTATAGACCCCATGTAATTCACACCACCAATTCACCCATGCACCATCACCATAGTCTCTTGTGCTCTTCCCACCCCTCTTTTTGATCATGCTCAGTGAAATAAGCCAGAAAGAAAAAGAAAAATACCAAATGGTTTCATTTATGGAAGGAATGTAGGGGCTCCAAATAAGGGATCAGGGGAAAAAAGTAATAATAATAAAGTAAAAATCAAATTCAACAGGCAACTATAAACCAGAGACATTCCACAGTGGAGAGAAGAAATTTGGAGCAAAATATTTTCTTTATTTGTATTGGGTACATAGAACTTTTCCCAAATTTCTATCTGGCATTCTCCATTTCCCATGGAAGCCCAATGTCTGTCAGTGACCATTGCTACTTCTGCCCTAGAGATGATTTGACTCTGCTGTATTTTTCAGTTGTTTGTTGTATATTGTTATTGTTCTTTTGTTTTGTTTGTACATCTTTTCATTATATTAAAGGACACGGTGACCATCCCTTTTTATTTTGTGCTTGGAATTTTGCTATGCCCTAGAATATGCTCTTTATCCTAGTTTAACAGCTCAGGTGGATTTCTTAAATATATACTTTAGAAAGCAGATGTTGTAAATCTAAGCCTATTCTAAAATAAAATGTTTAAAATACCAATACTTCACTGTAACAGTGAAGTCTTTGTTTAAATTTCAGCTCAGCCATTTAATAGCATTAAATGAAGATATCACTTTGGAAAATTTACAAAACTTCTATTTCTTTGTTTTCACAATAAAAATTATAATAGCGATAAGAAAGAGGTTTCTTAGAAAGCTTACACTTTGACTTCATTAAAATTGGAGTATCGGGGTCTACCTAGTGCTGCAAGAGGTTCAGCACAGCACTGTGAAGCTATTCGCAGCCTCTGTAGCCTGAGTTCAATCCCCAACTGGCCAGGGAGATACCCACATGGCACAGCAGACCTCTCCAGTCTCACCTACCACTCACCTCAGCAGTGTATTTCAGTCAGTCTGTCTGTTCTGTTCCCCACTCTATCTCTGATGAATCTTCTCATCTTCCTCCCACACCACACCTTTGGTCTGTATCCTAGTTCCTGTATGCATATATAAATAAATCTTTAAAAAAATTGGAGTATCAGACATTGACTAAGGGGTTAATACCTTCTATTTTTTTATTATTTTATTTTTACATCATTTTTCATTTTTGTAGAATGTATGCATTTTCATCTCAGTTATAGTCTATTCCTTCTAATGTGATAATACATATAGAACATTTTTAGCTCACTACTTAACACATGGTACCTACTCAACAATTGTTGGTATTATTGGCACTATTAGTAGTTGTAGAAGTAGTAGTAGTACTATTAATGCTGAAATTACTATCATATCTATGCTGGCAACATAATGAATGCTGAGTGAATGAATAACTGAATCAATAAAAAAGTTAGAGTTTGGGTCTTTTTTTCAGGAGAGAACAATATATATGATAACAGAAAAGCAACATTTTTATATAAATTCTCATTTCAAATGATTTAGATCATACAACCTAAAGCAACTTACTCATACAACCTAAAGCAACTGCTTCATTTCTGTCATCTATGGGGGAAAATACTTAGTCCAAGAGAAACTTAATATTCTGTCAAAAGACATATAGCTCATGGCAGCATAAAGCGCCTTTAGATTTAGTTGTTTGACAGACCAAGCCAAACATCCACATGCATACTAAGATGTAAGATGTGTAACGCGTTTTTCTCACAATTGAGGAAGTAATTATAATTGATTTTATATATATGTGGCTTATTTATAAGATGATTTATAAATATGTACCTATAATTTACACATATAATGGGGTTTTGTATGAATTCTGTAAAATTATATCAAAGTGGCATAACACTCATGGGAAGAAAGATTAATTTATATCTGTTTTGGGTAGTGTGTTGACAATTACAAATTTTGCTTTATAGACAATCAAATAATTAGTAATAATTAATAATTGAAAATGTTCAGGGCCTCCCCAGTGGCGCAGCGGTTGAGCGCTGGGTTGCGAAGCTGCCCGCAGCCTCTGCGGCTCCGGTTCGATCCCAGCTGCTCCCCGGCCACCAGAGGAGGGTTCCGCATGGCGTGCAGACCTCTCCTGCCGCCCGCTGCTCCCCTCAGCAGTGTCCTTCGGTCCTTCTGCCTGCTCTGCACCCCGCTCTGGCTCTGGTGAATTCTCTCACCCTCCTGCGCTTCTGATTGTACCCACTGCTTGTATGTATGTATGTATGTATAAATAAATAAATAAATAAAATCTTAAAAAAAAAAAAAAGAAAACGTTCATCACACAGGGATCATAAAAGCCCAGAACTTTAAAAGACTGGATGCTAAAAGACTGAGTGCTAAAGATCCTTTCTCGTTGTAACGCTATTTCATGCAGTTCCAAGTGTAGAAGATTTTCTGCTGTGAGAGAATAACTTCTCATATTTTGTTTTCTTTTTTTTTTTTTTTAAAGATTCATTTATTTATTTATACCAGCACTGGGTACAGTCAGAAGCACAGGAGGGTGAGAGAATTCACCAGAGCCAGAGCAGGGAGCAGAGCAGGCAAAAGGACCGAAGTACACTGCTGAGGGGAGCAGCGGGTGGCAGGGGAGG